GTTAGGAAACAAAACTTCAAGAACACGGCCACACAGCCCGGAACACCCACACCAGGCATCGTATGCCGGCCGTGAAAGCCTTCGACAATTATATAGAATTCTTTAAAAGCCATATGAATGTTGGTCATAAAAAATATTTTTCAGGAGCAGAAAATAGTTGAAAATTCTAAAAACAATAATTTTACTAATTTTATTGCTGTAGAAATACATGTTCCTTTTCCTCGTTCCTCCAGAGCAATTGACCACTTTTTTATTTTAGGCATCTCCAAAGATCTTTCTGTTTTGGAAGATTTGTTATATTGTCACTGTTTTAAATTGCCATTTATTAAGCAGAACTATTTATTTCATTTTAAAAATTTAAATTATAGCTGTGCTATTCAAGCTGTTCTGTAAAGACTTTTTGCTAGAACAAGTGGGGCATAAATATTTAAAAAATAAAAATAACAAAGTATGGGGAGGGCTGGTTAAGACTGGATTAAGAAGTTAAAAAATAATGTTATTTGACTGTCAGAAGCATGATAGTCATAACAATTACAGCAATTTATTTAGAATTAGTTTTCCCTGCATGTTCTTACAAAATTTGTATTTTATATGGAGATAATAATAATTTTCTTCTAAACAGTTTCCTTAGAAAATCTCAATTGATGTAGTTTTAAAATTCTTTGACTTAACATATAGTCACCAAGAATATACCCACTATACAATTATACATAAATCATACAGTAATTCATTGCTCTGGGAAAAATAAAATAATCTCTCCAGCTAGGAGAATTATGTTATCTTCACCATTTCTTCTAAGATAACTAAGCTGTCACATTCTTTGTGATGCACTTTCATCTTACCAGCAAAGGTACCCTGTTAATAAGCACACAGATTTGGTAGCTGTAGCATAAGCAGCATGCTGGGCATACAAATAAAAGAGAAACGCCTTTAGCAACGCATACATTAAATCACACAATTATAATTACCATGCAAGTTGAGAAGTAGATGGTTTTCTCAAAGGAACTGGTACATATTTCAAATATTGCCTGTTTTGAAATCATTTTAAAAAATAAAAAGTTTAATTATATTTGATTTTAAAATTACATGAATAGTAATGCTGTATTATGAAGGTACTTCACAGGATGTGGCCTTAGTTAGAATCTGGGGGGTCCTCAAATCAAATCAAATCAAATCAAATCAAATCAAATCAAATCAAATCAAATCAAATCAAATCAAATCAAATCAAATCAAATCAAATCAAATCAAATCAAATCAAATCAAATCAAATCAAATCAAATCAAATCAAATCAAATCAAATCAAATCAAATCAAATCAAATCAAATCAAATCAAATCAAATCAAATCAAATCAAATCAAATCAAATCAAATCAAATCAAATCAAATCAAATCAGTCCTCAAAGGAGTTGTATGTGTGGGATCCATAAGGGTTGTTCAACTACAATTTCCATACTGACTGGGAATTATAGAAATTGTTCTCAAACAAATTTGCAGAGCACCAGGTTTGGGAGATTAGATAGATGTTGTCTTTATATATATTTTTCCTGATTCTATGCATTTCAGTTACTTGATTTCTCAAATGCAAATTGCTTAAGTGCCTTTTTAGATGTATAGACCTTGAAACAATGCATATAATTCAAATGAATTCATTCAGATTATGAGGGAAAAGGCAACTTCTTTCAAGGCATTAAATTCCATTCATGGATGAAAAAAAAGATTTTAGTAAGCAAATACGCTCACAGCAGAGTGGTGAAGAAATTTCTAGAGAAACCAGTGGATGACCATTGGATCTGGGAGGATGGAGAAAAGGATAGCTGCAGTCAGTGGTATAAAAAAACGAAGGCAACAATAGGTGGGGCCAACTGATTTTGATTTCCCAACCATCTGTTTTCTTGCAATAGTGCTAAAAACATTTAACATTTTCACTGAGCTAAAGTATACTCAAAGAGATTGATTCAATAGGCTTTTGTAGGATAATAACTGAATCTTAGCTGCAAAAAATGGTCTTCACCACTCTTTCTAGCCATCCAGTTATTCAGTCAAGTCACTATTCCCAGATGAAAATAAGCAGCCTATGGTTAGAGTAATGCTAGATATGTAGATTCAGAATAACATCTTTCATATAAAACATAGAATAGTAGATACCTTTGGAATCATCTTCTATAGTTGGGCATGTTGGTGACTGTTTTTTTTTCTCTGACAATTGATAAACATCAATTATAATCAAGCATGAAAAGATAAGTTGAAACTTATCAGTTAGTAAAAGAGAGTGTCTCCTTCAAATCAAGCTTAACGTCACGGACACATCCATTTAGCTTTCTTGGCAACACTGTGGAAGTGGACTGCCATTGTCGTCTTCTGTATATATATAGAGTGGTACCTCGGGTCACGAACGCTTCTGTTCACGACCAATTCGGGTCACGAACAGCTCTGTTCGCAAAATTTTGCTGCCGTTTGCGAATGCCAGATCGGGTGACGAACAGGATCCGCGGCCATTTTCCCTCCTGTGACACGTGGTCGTGACTTCCTGTAGGGAGGGGGACTCTCCCTCCAAGCAATAACCACCTCCCCACCCGCCTTCCTGTCCTCCACGCCAGAAGTCGCGTCGA